CAACACACATACTGACAAACAAACAAGCAACACACACACTGACAAACAAACAACACACACACACACTGACAAACACAACGACAAACAACACGCAGACAAACAACACACCACTGACCATACATAAGTGAACAATCTATCATCTTTGGTTTAAGTAAGAGTTTTACGGTACTTGCAACACAATAAGGTCACATAAGTGCCGAAGATAAAAGATGTTACAAAAGAGTAACAAACACGATAAAAGGAGGAGAGATAAGTACTATAGGTGTTTGATAGGAAAGAAGGAGCAAATCACACCAGACCAGAGCACCCGCCAACCACCCACAGCCTACAATACTCACTGGACCTTCCCAAGGGGGCGAATTAGATACAGCCATGTCACAATATGGATGTGAAATCAATATGCAAGGAACGATTTCAAAAATGCAATAATTCAGACCTGAGACCCCACTCCGAAACGAACCGCGATCTTCTGTACGGAAGAGCCAAGTTCAGAACCAGCCGAGCCCCGCTAGTTTCAGTTTTTAGTTTTAGTACGTTTTACTGCACTTGCAACACAATAAGGTCATATAAATGCTGAAGATTAGAGGTGTTACTAGGAGAGTAACAAACACAAAAAGAAGGAGGGGAGATAAAGACGATAGATGTTTGATAGGAAAGAAGGAGCAAATCACACCAGAGCACCCGCAAACCACCCAAGCTGACTGGAAGAATAATATACAGAAACCAATGTAAATCTTTTTATAAGACGTTATCATTATCATCATCATCAAGTGCCAGATCTACAGCACACTGGAGATTATGGTTCGCTTTTCATCTCTGCTCGAAAGCTCTAAAAAAACCCAACCCAACCCAACCAATATTAAACAATGTAAAGAAGGGGGAAGGGGGTGGAGAGAAGAAAAGAGAGAGAGAGAGAGAGAGAGAGAGAGAGAGAGAGAGAGAGAGAGAGAGAGAGAGAGAGAGAGAGAGAGAGTGATGGAACGAGAAATAGAAAGAAGTTGCTGTTAAGAAGTTGCACTGCAAAGCTTTGCGTTTCACTCAGCTTTGTTAGATATTTTTAAATCTTGCTATTTCTCGAAAATGTACATATCATAAACTTAATTTCATATACGAAATATAACTCTCTTCTATGTTGAATTTTTATTTGTGCCGAGTTTGGTTGAAATTGGTCCAAAGATGACAGATATTACCGTTTAAATGGGTCCTTTTTCTTCTTAGAAACTCGGTACAATTGTACAGAAAATCATGTATAAGTACCATCTTATCATATTTCTGTCTCTGTCTCTCTCTCTCTCTGCACGGGCATGTACTCTCCCTCTCTCTCTCTCTCTCTCTCGGTGAGTGTGTATGTATGTGTGTGTGCGTGTGTGTGTTGATATGTCAGAGCGCATGTGTGTGTGTGATTAAGTATGTGCATGAGTGTGTATATATGTATGTGTGTGTGTATGAGTGTGTATGCATGAGTGGTTAAATGTGTGAGTGTGTGTGTGTGTGTGTGTATGTGTATGCGTGTGTGAGTATGTGTGTGTGTGTGTGTGTGTGAGTATATGTGTGTGTGTGTGTGTAAATGTGTGGGAGTGCACAAGAGTCTGCATGTTATACACACATGAAGTCCCAAAGAACACTGAAACAATCACTTATTTCTTCAAATATCATTCCTTGCAATTTATGAACAGTTGTACAAAATGTTTCTGAAACAATGCTGGCACGTCCATTATTTTTCATTTTCATCCTTCTTAAATTTCATTTTCATCCATTTTGAATTTCATTTTCGTCATTTTGAAATTTCATTGTTATCAACTTTTCCCATATTTCTCGTTTACTTTCATCACCCCCCCCCCACCCCCCCCCACCACCAATTTTCATTTCACTTGAAAAATTAATTTGACTTTCACAATGTTTAGTAAGAATAACCACTTACTCTTGCTTTGCTTCTTTTCTTTGACCATATTATGTAACACTCATATTTCAGTACACTGAATGGTAGATGTGAGGCGAGATGGCAAAATGAGTTACTTCTCGCAATCCTCGAATGGAGATATGAGCCGAAAATCGACACAGTGGTCAAAGTTGTAGATTTTCAACAGACTCCACTTTCTTCAGGTTTAACGTGTTTTATCACTTCATAATAATAAATTGTAAAAAGCTCAACTTATAGAATTGATGTATCTATTTCCACAGAGATAAAAATCTGAGAAGTAACTCATTTCTGTTTGTTTATTTGAGTAAAGAGAAGCACACACGTCGACACAATAAAGGTCATTTACTGCTAAGAAAAAGTAAGACAGACAGAAACAACAGAGGGAAAGTAAAGACATAAGTGGGACCGAACTCAGTTTTTCGTTTTAGTACAGGTTTTACGGCGCTCGCAACTGCATAAGGTCATATGAGCGCCAGACGATTAGAGGTGTTACAAGAGAGTAACAAACACAAAAAAGAAGGAGGAGAGATCAGGACGATAGATGTTTGATAGGAAAGAAGGACCAACAACCCACACCAGAGCACCTGCCAACCACCCACATCTAACTCATTTTGTCAGCCCACCTCACAAATGCTGAAGCAGTGAGTGCTAGTCCATGACGGTGATCCTCATACTGTTTGCACAATGCTTTTTTCTGCACTGGAACATTTTAGCAATGCCTCATATTGTTGATAATTAATAACCTTTCTGAATAAAGAGCCCATCTCGTGCTGTGAGCAACCTGATTCTGTAAATACTGAGTTTGTTGTTGTTCTCTGAGATTTGTCTTTTTACCTTCAGTAGAGTTTTTACGGCGCTCGCAACTACTGCATAAGGTCATATGAGCGCCAGACGATTGGAGGTGTTACAAGAGAGTGACAAACATAAAAAAGAAGAAGGGGAGATAAGGATGATAAATGTTTCATAGTTAGGAAAGAAGAAGCAAACCACACCAGAGCACCCGCCAACCACCCACAGTCAGAGTTTTACGGCATTTACTATACAAATAGGTCAGATAAAAGCTGAAGAATAAAGAAGTTTTTGTTTGTTTTGGTAGAGGTTTTGCGGCGCTCGCAACTGCATAAGGTCATATGAGCGCCAGAAGAATAGAGGTGTTACAAGAGAGTAACGAACATAAAAAAGAAGGGGAGATAAGGATGATAGATGCTTGATAGAAAAGAAGAAGCAAACCACACCAGAGCACCCGCCAACCACCCACATAAAGTTACTTACTAAAGAGTAACCTAAACAGAAAAGACGGAGGAAAGATGAGGAGAATGAATGTTCGATAGGTACGAAGGAGCAAACCACACTACAGCACCCGCCAACCACCACAATGATGATTAGAATTACAAGAGAATAACAAACAAAAAATAGGAGGGTAGCCAAGGGCCACAGTAAATGGTGATAGTGAAAGGAGAAGAGAAGCATACAACGCCAGAGCACCCACAAACCACCCACCGTAAATGGTGATAGTGAAAGAAGAAGCTACAACATCAGAGCACCCACCAACCACCCATAGTAAATGGTGATAGTGAAAGAAGAAGCATACAACACCAGAGCACCCACCAACCACCCACAGTAAATGGTGATAGTGAAAGAAGAAGCATACAACACCAGAGCACGCACCAACCACCCGCAGTAAATGGTGATAGTGAAAGAAGAAGCTACAACATCAGACCACCCACCAACCACCCACAGTAAATGGTGATAGGGAAAGAAGAAGCATTAGAGCTGGGCAATGAGTCGCTTCAGCAAAATCCGTATAATATTTTAGTGCACCTCTTCGGCTAATAATATGATATGAACCGCTTCGGCAAATGGGTTGGAACCACTTTGACAAACGGGTCAGGAAAGAGAGTTAAGAGTCTGAAATCGGATAATGTTTCATTGAGAATTCTGCGGTTATCCTTTCCGATTATCCGGATTTTGCCCACCTCTAAGAAGCATACAATACCAGAGCACCCACCAACCACCCGCAGTAAATGGTGATAGTGAAAGAAGAAGCATACAACACCCGAGCACCCACCAACCACCCACAGTAAATGGTGATAGTGAAAGGAGAAGCTACAAAACCAGAACACCCACCAACCACCCACAGTAAATGGTGATAGTGAAAGGAGAAGCATACAATACCAGAGCACCCACCAACCACCCGCAGTAAATGGTGATAGTGAAAGAAGAAGCATACAACACCCGAGCACCCACCAACCACCCACAGTAAATGGTGATAGTGAAAGGAGAAGCTACAAAACCAGAACACCCACCAACCACCCACAGTAAATGGTGATAGTGAAAGGAGAAGCATACAATACCAGAGCACCCACCAACCACCCGCAGTAAATGG